TGCTGCTGCATCAGGCGTGGTCCTCCCACCACCGCCACTGCATTGGCCTTGCAGGCAGCAATGACAGAAGTGGGGAGGGGCAGGATAGGCCAGGGCCAGTGGCCTTGCCCCCCTGCAGCATCCCAATCCCCCTCCCCGTCAACTCCAAGGAGCAAGCGGGGGGGGGGTGAGACCAGCTCGGGTGTCTTCACCCCCTGCCCCCACTCCGTCGTCTCCACCTGCAGGGAGCAAGGCAGGGGGGGCAAGGCCAGCACTTCCCCCGTTCCATTGCTGGCCTTGCTTCCCCTGTTCCATTGCCGCCGCCTCCAGGGAACTGGCCTCGCTTTCCCCCCCACTTAGTTCCCTGTGTCCTTGCCATCGTGGTGGCACTCCACTGTGCCACCACTACCTGTCCAAATGCTTATTCACACTCTAATTGGCTGTTTCAGTCAGCTAATCAGAGCGCAAATAAAGCCTTATGGACGGACAGACAGATGGACAGATTAAGGCTTTTATAATATTTAGAATAGATTGATGGTGCACTTATCCTTGAGCTGTGTAAGATTTGGTTACCTCTCAAACAGAATACAAGGGATTAGGAAGCATGATACAAAGCCTGTGAAGAGAGATTTGAAAATGCTAATGTGATATAATTTTAGAAAGAGGTGAGTAGGAGGTGCATAGAAATGCAGATTGTGTTGAAAGCCATCGGTGCATTTGCTAGCACTTCTGACATGCAGAAGACACTGGAGCATCGTACCACCTACATGAGGAATGAAACTTGCTGGTTTCCAGTTATGGGTCGTCTCTTGCTCATCTGACAATCTGTGCTAGTGAAAAGACACAGCTATCATTTTGTGTATTTTTGGGCAACTTGACTGAGACCACTTATGAAGTGGTATTGAAGACTGTTTATTCAGTCAGGCTATGTGAGCATATAAACATCTTTTGGTGTAAATTGAGGAGGTCTCTTAGCTGAAAATTGTTAGTAACAGTTCAGTTCCCTAAGAGAGCCTGAGGAGGATTAAGACAGCACATGGTTAAAAAAAACCTCAGTTACTTTTATATTCAATATACTGTATAGTCTCAAATGCAACACACTTCCCCCCCCTAAAATCAGTCCCCCAGTTTTGGGGGGCATTTAAGCAGAGAAGCTGACATTCTGCCCAGGGTTGGACATACCCTGGTTTGATACCTGTTCCACAGAGCAGCAGTTTTGGTATTACTCTTCAGGTAATACTCTGAAGCTAAGGGAGTCAGTTGACTTAAAGGCTCATTGTTCTTCATTCTGCGGGTGTTAATGACGGTGTCTCGTTTTTAATGGTCTTCATGTTCCACTAATCAAGCTAAGCTTTCTTAGGGAAGTTTTACTATCTACTAGCTGTTCCTGGTCTCTCTTTCACACCATCTGTAACTCTAGCACAGATTCTGTAGCTCTCTTCAAAACAATCTACCACAGAGACCCTGCTCTAGCAAGTAGCAACTTAAGGATTCAGCTTTACTTATGCAGGAAAGAAAGAGTGAATCAGCTGAAGAATAGGCTTTGTCCATACTCTGTGCAGCCATAACTCTGGGAGAATCTTTTTCTCTTCATTCTGCCTTAAAAAAACAAAGTGTATATTGTTTTGGGGGTGTATTGTATGTGAGAAAATATGGTAACCAAACTGAGGAAGGTGTGCAATCTTAAATATGAGAGAAGTGTCCTGGTCCAAAAAACATAGTGGCATCCTGCACTAGGAGCATGCTGGATGGAGCCCTTGCGACTAAGTTGTCCCATAGTCATGTGCTGCTTTCCTTTTTCCATATGTGCTGGTTACTTTTACTAGTTAATCTCCATGGCAGTCATACAGGTAAAAGCCCAGGACACGTACTTATGGAGTTTTTTAAATGGAAATTCCCAGCTGCCAACTTTTGCAGTTTCTTCTTGAATAGTAAATATCATAACTTAGCAGCAGAAACTATATTTTCATTTAAACAAGTTTGGGCAACAGTCAAGTTCAAAGGTGTAAAAATGCTTTATTTGCACTTCTGTTGCCTTGGTTACTCTCTGGTTGTCCCTTTTAAGTAATTTTATTAATTTTTGAAGTGTACAGCTACTACGATTAGAGGTGCCAGCTGTTGACAATAATTTGGCTTACTTTGCTTTTCAGCTGTGGAACCAGTCAGCCCTTTCCTGCTAAGCCACTCAGCGAGTCGCAGAATCGATTGCTGGCCAGTGAAAGTCAGTGGGCAGAAAGTGGCTCTGAAGAAGAAAACGTTAAATCAGGTAAAATGTATAACCCTAGAAAAATAGGCCTGGAAGGAATCCAAAGAGGTCTAGTCCAAACCCCTGTCTAACCTGTCCCAAACAAGCATTTGGAATCTGTGAATGGGAGTTTTCATTCTCTCTCTCTCTCTCTCTCTCTCTCTTTCTCTCCCTCTCTCTCACCTGTTCCATTGCTTAATCACCTGCATAGTTGGAATGTTTCTTCTAATATTTAACCTTACATTTCCTTTGTTGCAATCTAAACCCATTATTTCTTCCAACTGTTCAAGGCTTGTCATTTTTGTTGCTATCTCTTGAGCTCTTTCCAATTTATCAACATTTTTCTTGAAGTGGAGCACCCAAATCTTGGATGTAGCACTCCAAGTGACGTTTCATCAGTGCCGAATAAAATGGAAGATTTTTTTCCCAGAGTTCGCATACAACACATCTATCAATATATCCCAGTATGTGATCAGTATTTCCCAGCCCCCAACAATATCATATGTTCAGATCTGATGCGCTATAAATCTCTGTTCCTTTTCTAAATTTGTGCAGCCTAGCCATTTGTTCCCCCATTGTGTATATGTTGTGCATTTGATTGTAGCTTCCTAAGTGTAGTGTATTGTACTTGTTCTTTCTGAATTTCATCTTATTTTATTTCATACCATTTACAACTTACCACATTACCAAAGTCATTTTGAATTTTAATCCTGTTCTATAGTGTCTGCTACTCCACTTAGTTTGGAGTCATCCAGAAATTAAGAATTTAGAATTTAGTAAGTACAAAGTGGTTCTTAATGTACCACATAATCCAGTCCTCTAAGTGATTAATAAAGATACTGAACATTACTGGACACAAGACCAGACCCCCTGGGAAGTCCCACGTGATACCTCCTCCCAATTTGATGTGGACACTGGGCATGATTATCCAACCAGTTTCATAGTTTCTAGGGTCGGAAGGGACCTGGGCAGATCATCTAGTCCGACCCCCTGCCATGGCAGGAAAGAGTACTGGGGGCAAACGACCCCAGCAAGATGGTCATCTAACCTCCTCTTAAAAACCCCCAGGGTGGGGGCCTGCACCACCTCACTTGGAAGCTGGTTCCAGACCCTAGCCGCCCTGACCGTGAAGTAGCGCCTCCTGATGTCCAACTTAAACCTTCCCTCCGCCAGCTTGTGACCGTTATTCCTGGTCACTCCTGGCGGCGCTCGGGGGAACAGGGACTCCCGCAGTGCCTGTTGATCCCCCCTGACTAGTTTATAGCAGGCCACAAGATTCCCCCCTCAGCCTTCTCTTCTGGAGGCTGAACAGGTTCAGGTCCCGTAACCTTTCCTCATAGGACCTGCCCTGCTGTCCCTTGATCATGCGAGTGGCCCTCCTCTGGACCCTCTCGATGCTGTCCACATCCCTCTTAAAGTGCGGCTCCCAGAACTGGACGCAGTACTCCAGCTGCGGCCTGACCAGTGCCGCATAGAGGGGGAGGATCACCTCCTTGGTCCTGCTTGAAATGCATCTGTGGATGCACAACAAGGTACAGTTGGCCTTCCTAGCTGCCTCCCCACACTGCCGAGCCATGTTCATCTTGGAGTCAATTATGACTCCAAGATCCTTTTCCACCTCAGTGCTGACAAGAGGGGAGTTCCCCAGCCTGTAGGTATGGTGCCAGTTGTTCCTCCCCAGGTGCATCACCTTGCACTTGTCTGTGTTGAACCCCATCCTGTTCTCCTCCGCCCATCCTTGTAACCTGTCAAGGTCCGACTGTAGCCTGTTGCTCCCTTCTATTGTGCCCACATCCCCCCACATCTTGGTATCATCAGCAAATTTGAACAGGGTGCTTTGCACCCCCTCATCCAAATCACTGATGAAGATGTTGAACAGGGCGGGCCCGAGGACCGAGCCCTGCGGGACCCCACTGCCCACGTTAAGAAAAATGTTCCAGCATAGGCCCATGAGTGTCACTTTCTGCAGCAATTATTGTTATAAAAATCCTTTAGGCAAGTATAACTGAGCTACAGACATTTCTGATAAACTTCAGTAGGAAGACTGGAACTAGTATTTTATGTATAGAATAAAACTAACTTGGTCATTGCAGTCTGATCTATAGCAGGTTACTGCGCTAAGCCAACTAGAAAATTGTTCTTATTTTCCATTCTCGGGTTGTTCTGGATGTTTTAGTTTGGGATGGGTTTGCCTTTTTGTTTTAAAAGAAGAAAAATATTTCTCTAATAGAAAAATGGCTATAGCACAGTGAATACTTGTTTCTGGTTTGAAGACAATAGAATTGTTTTTCATTATTTATCTGGTACAGATCTTTTTTTAAAATAAATCATTGAGATAATGAACATCTTATATTTTAGGTGCAAAAAAGCATATTATAGTTTCAATGGAAAGCTGATCTTAACCTGTTACTGGCCAACTATCTCAATGAGAAACGGTAAGTAACTGAAAATTTTGCAAACCTAAAAGGCCATAAGCAATTCACCATATTTACTCAAATCAAAGGAAAGAATTTTTTTTCCTCCATTTAACATTAGAGGCTTCTTTCTACTTGTCTTGGATTTGAGGACAAGGCAGCTATAAGCAGTGGGAAGTGGGGAGAACAGGCACTGGGAGGAGAACAGGTGATGGGGGGTGGTAAGCATGTGTTGGGGGCAAATGGCAAGAGAAGAAGGTGCTGGAGGGGCAGGCAAAATGGGGCACAAGTGATGGGGGCAGGGGGGAACTGTTCCCCACCACCTGGCTCCCTACCATTGTTTTCCCTGCTATAGCAGTTGAGGGGGGACAAATTTAAGACAGTCCTCCAATAATCGTAGTCTCTGCCTGGAAAATGACAACAAATGTAAAGTTTTCCTTATATGGAATCTAATTAGGGAGGAGTGGTCTTAAATTTAGAGTAGTCTTGGATTCAAGTAAGTACAGTATTTATTTCTGTGTTGAAATAATCAATCAATTAATTCAAGGAAAAGTAAAGAGCTTGGTCTTTCATGCACCAGAAATACCAGAAGTCTATTTCTAAAACGCTCCATATTTCCAAATAAGAGATGGTGTCTTCATTCTAATCTAGTAGGCCCCTTCAATAGAAGACTTTGGGAAATCAATTCCAGCATAAACTAAAATTCGAATGAAATTCAATTCAGCCTTCCTTGTTTTAGTAAAAGTGGATTCATGGAGAAGAATTCACTAAGTAAATGAGCTGCAAGCCAGTTTTTAGGGCCAGTGGTGAATTTCCTCGGGTTGAAAGATAATCATTGGTGAGAAAAAGAACTGGAGGAGCAGATAGGAGACATCAGGGTGTAAGATGGAGATGTGTGTGTGTCTGCATATATTTATATAAATAAACAAATAAATTGTATATATTCTAATATAATAAACGCCTTTGTCTGTCTGTTTGTCCATAACGCTTCAGGCCTACTGCACATGCACCGCCAAGAAGGTGTGCGCCAATTGGCTGCAAGGGCCTAGAGTGTTACAGACAGAGGGGGCAAGGGAGCTGCCATGCTGCCCACCTCCCCACAACAGCAGCTGACAGAGAGGGGGAGACAGCGAGGAAGAAGGAGGCAGGGAGGGGAGTGGGAAGGGGAGTGCCAGGGGCAGCCCTCCCCCCCTCCCCCCCCTTCTGCCACCATCCCCCAGCACTGGCAACAGCTGGCAGAGAGGGGGAGACAGCAGGGGGGGAGGGAGGAGAGGGGGAGAGGAGACATGTTGCATGCTGCTGTGTGTCACCAGTTGCTGCCATGTGCAAGCTCCCTTTCCCCCCATCCCAGCAGTGGTGCAGGGTGGAGCGGCAGGTGATGGGGCTGGCGCACAGGGCTGGACCGGGGGGAAGAGTCCTACGGGGTCGGACGTAGGGGGTGGGGGGCAGGGGGTGTGCATGGAGCTGGATGTGGGGGTTGGGGCACACAGAACCAGAGGCAGAGCGGTGGCACCATGGGGCACTGGGTGGCAGCGCTCTGTCAATGCCACTCCCCTCCCCAGTCATTCATGACAGGCAGTTTGTGTGTGTGTGTGTGTGTGTGTGTCCATCTTACACCCTGCTGTCTCCTATCTGATCCTTTAGTTCTTTTCCTCACCAGTGATTATCTTTCAACCCTAGGAAATTCACAGCTGGCACTAAAAATTGGCTTGCAGCTCATTTATTTAGTGAATTCTTCTGTGTGTGTGTGTGTGTGTGTGTGTGTGTGTGTTTGCGCACGCATGCGTGTGTTTATGTATAATATATATATTCCTTTTATATTTTAGAAGACCAGAGGCTTTTTTCCTCATGTTAAGTGGGGAAACAATCCTCATCTTAGAATCAAGCAAATTACTGGTACATGGTTTTAAAAACCTTTTATGTAAAGAATTAATTGAGGGAGGTCCATATAATTCTTGAATTCAACCTGATCTACTTGTTTTATCAAGGTTAACAGTTACACTTCCACTAATTAACTGATTTCCTTTCATTAGGTTTTTGCAACACATTTGCGCTTGAATATTAATTTTGTTCAGAAGATGTCCAGTAAAATGGAACAGTGCACATGTTACAGAAGATACATGAAAAAATAAGTTTTTGTACAGTACAATGGATGCTTGTAAGCACTACTGCAGAGCAGGGAAGTAAGACAGATGCCTTAATGTGTGTTTATGCAACATTGAATTCTGTAATGCTACCAAAGGGTCAAATCCTGAAGTATCCTGTATGGATGCCCATGGCCCAAACAGAGTGGACACTATGCATTTCTGCTATGTTCTGATGGTAGGGATAGGTCCGCAGAAAACTCAAGCAGACCCCATCCCACTGTGCACTGCAGAAGCTACTTCCACAGCAAGTCTGCAGCATGCCAAGAAAGGGAAAAGTAGATGTGTTGTCCACAAACAGGCCAATGAGTCTGCACAATGTAGATACATGTGGCCCAAACATTGGGTGGGAGGAGAACAGGATGGTGTATCCTTTCCTCTTCCTAGTACCCAGCAGCAGCTGGTCACAAGCTGCCTACCCATTACCCTGGTTCTGTAACCCTCGTGGGGCTTGAGATTTCTCCCTTTAGCCCTTCTTTGTTGCAGCACAATGCCAAGCAGGTAAACCCCCTCTACTTGGGCTTTGCTTGTTTGATTTAGGATTGGGCCCTTAGTCATTTTAATTTAATTTTGTTAATTGTATTAGGAATGTAACGTAAGCTGCATACATATGTTCAAGTGATCAGGGGTTTCTGTGGTAGAAAAACTTACTCAAAGACCCTGAACAGACATTCCAATGCAGTCGCTGAGCAGCCAAGGAACCGTTGTGCACACATCTTGGGCTCCCCAGTCTACCTGGTGACAAATAACAACAGCGCACAAGGCAACCTTGATTGAGTGACCCAAATTGTCTTGTAGGCTGCATCTCAGTGCAGCTGCTTGGCTGGAGCAGTAGAATCCAGCCTGAGTGACACACTGTTTCCCTGGACCCATGGGGGCTGGGAACAAAGCACACTGGAATGCTAGAGGATCCTACAGCTGCAGCTTCTCTTCTAAGGTACATGTACAGAAGTTCACTCTCACAAGAGAAACTCCCAGGAGCAATTTAACCATGGTTGTTCCCAGTTTATTTTTCTCTTAGAGCAGCCATTTTTGTTGAGAGAGAAAAAACCTCAATGTTTATACTCCTGATTTCTGCTGGGAGAGAGAAGTGGCTCTCTGTTTAGAAACTGAATGTCTGTACATGGCCTTAGTCAAATTAATTTTCTTTTAGACCTATTTTACCTGGATAATAATACTACTTGCCTCTCAACACAAAAAGTTTGCCAATCCAAAATGAACTAACAAACCAGCTTATTTTTCTCTGGCGGGTGCAGAATGGTCTTGCAAGCCAGTAATAGAAGGGCAAGATACTAGTAGCAACAGAAACCAGATTGCAGTTGTGTAGTGTACTAGAAAATAGAATTGGAGAATATTGCTTTATATATTGGACTATTGCTGGTTTGTGAACACTTGTTTTATACTTTTCATTTTACCTTTTTAAATAAAAACAAAGGGTTTTTTATTGTTGGTTCTGAAGTACCATTTACATGGAGTTTGAGTATCTGATGAAACTTAAATGACGAATCATACATGTATTTAATCCACTGAAAGTTCATTGTGTGCTATGCTCTGTTATTTTAACTTCTATTTTAAGTGATGGCAACTGAAAAAGATGAACTTGGTGCTTTATGAAATGCCGTACTTCATGAAAGATGAGGGATTTTTCTTAGATGGGGAATAAAGTTCATCTAAAGCTCAAGACCTGCAGTAAACCAAACACACCCACATATCTTATTTTTGGATAGAAAAGCTAATGCTAGATATTTTGCAGTGGTCTGGACACTGCACTCAGCAACATTTTCACAAATACTCCTTTCCTTTCCATTTCTTCTTCAATATATGGTGAACTGACTGGAAGGCAGGTGAGCTGCTGATCAGAGAGAACAAAGCTGAAGGAACCTGTCTATTGAGTTAACTTCCTGAATTGATTATTTCTATGGCTAATTGTATCTAGATCCACATGGATATAGATATATGCACGTTTAAGTTAATATACAGCAGAGTTTTGCCTTTGAAAAAAACCTCATATCACCTCTAAAATTTAAAATTGTATCTCTTCCTTAAAAATGCTCCTTAAGAGGGAGAGAATAAATTTGAGCCTACAGATGTTCCTGTGAAATTAATGGTCCCAATTTGAAACTTTCATAAACTTTGCAGTGTGTTGCAGCAAACTCTTTCCTTGTATACAAGGGAACATCTGCCAAGTTCAGCATCCACAAGAACATCAGTATGTCTTCCCTTAAACTACTTTTTTCCTCCCCCTCAAATATTGTGTCCATCTCATCAGAGATTGGCAGTCTCTGCTTAGCTAAAAAGAAGAAAAAAGCCTCCAGATTTCAGTTATGTTAACATGTTGAGCTTGGAAAGTTACAGCCTCAGGAGCTCCTCCACTAAAGATACCTTTTGGCATGGGGTGTCTGTACTGGGTTGAGAAACAGAAGACTTCGATTTCAATGCACCTCTTGCACCAACTGGTGCGAAGGCTGTGATTGTGCTCAAGAGTTTTATAATTCTGGAGGAAATCCTGCATTTACCTGACCTGATCACTTCCGTCTTAGGAAGAGGTAACTGAAGAACTGGGGAAGTTGCACAGGCTAATTTCTGGCAAAGTTGGGAACAGAACCCAGATCTGTACTAGAGCAAAGCTTCCTACTCGCCAGTACTGCCTGTTTCTAAGGACTGGCCTGAACACCATCCTGCTTGGACTGTTCAGTTTATACCAGCATAAATGTGTCCATCTGTGGCAAGAGTTTAGCAGCAGTTTAACTGGGGTCATCAGCTATTAGAACACCACTAAAGCATGCACTCGTAGGACCTGCCACCAGCCTGCCTGGTGTGCAGTACATGCCAGAGCAATGGCAACTAAAAGAGAAGTCTTTTAAGGGTTGCTTCACTTTGTTTGTTTTCCTTAATCAACAAACTGAAGGAAAACAAAGCTGTTACTTCAAGGTTATATTCTAGAGCAGGGCTGTCCAGCTCATTTGAGTTAGCAGGAAGGATCCAGACCGGTGATTCTTGTGGCCAGTCTACCCCCAGCAGCAGAGCATGCAGCTGTGGCATTACATCTTGTGTACTGACCATGCCCCCACCACTTGCCCTGTTGTCAAAAGTATTTGTAATGGGGATCTCAACCTGGAAATTGTGCAGCAGGGTGACTAGTGGTGGTTTTAACCCCAAGTGCTGGTCCTGCCAACACAGCAACTCTGGTAGTCACAGGGGTTAACCCCACTGCTACTTACCCTGCCTCAAAATTTCTGGCCATCCAACAGGCTGCAATTTTACCACTGATAAGGCCACATGTCACCTATAGGCCTCCATTTGGACAGCACTGCTCTAGAGCAAGTTTGGTATATCTGTTTTATATTGGAACAATTTACCTAGATTCGCAGAAGCTTAGGGGTGGAAGGGACCTTGTGAGATCACTGAGTCTCGCCCCCCTGCTGGGGTCAAAGACTTATACTGGAACAATTTTGATTTTTCTTTAGAATAAGCTTTGGTCCCATTTAATTTAGAAAATCAATCCTCTGCTGTGTCTTGATTTCTGAGCCACTGTAGTGTAAAGTAGTACAAAAATTTTGTGGAAACAAGCTTTCATAGATTAAGCCCATATTTTTGTTGAGTGGTCTCCAAAGGCCTGTGGTTTTTCTTTTACATCTAGATAAGACACAATGAACTGAAATTTCCATAAAGAACTAGTGCCATTTCTGGTGCCTGTAGATCTTTGAGTACCATAGATAGGGACCTACCTAATTCATGGAGGCTGCCTCCATATTTCATGGTCCCAGCATGGTGTTGGGCATAATTTTTGTGGTGTAGCATGGCAGGGGCGCCTCCCATGCCTCTAGCCAAGTGAACCTGGAAGTCCTGCACCTCCCTAGAGATTGACAGGTCACCATCTATAAATCTGGGGAGGAGCAAGACTTCCAGAGCCCCTCAATGAATCTCCACCCCCCTCCCTGCCCTGTAGACTAGGGCTTCCTGCCCTTTTCTATTTGTAGCTGCCTTTTCCCCCCTCCCCCTGGCTGACTGGCTGCTGCTTCCTGCTTTTTTGAAAGGACCAGGGGTTTTTCGTGGGGGAGCTACCAAATTCATGGTTTCCAAAAAATCGTGAATTTGGTAGGCCCCTAATCATGGGCACTCATGCTGCAGATAACAGCACCCTCTTGAGTTGGATGAAGCAGGGGTTGTCCTTTGAGGTTAAAGCATCTATCTGGAAATCCACTCTCTGTAACAGTGTAAAAGTAAGGAATCCCCCTCTGAATATAGTCACCATTGCTGGAGAACAGATTGGCACAAGGAAGGCTAGTTCAGTGGAAGTATTATGAAAATAAAGGTTCAAAAGGTAGCCATGGGTGACCTATTGAGTTCACTAGCCAAACTGGTGCCTGTCACTGGGGTGAGGAGTAGGCTCTGTTGCTGTCAGGGGAAGTGGGGGGGAAAGCTGGAGGGCAGAGAAGGTGAGTCAGTAATAATACCATGTTTGGTAAGGAGGGAAGGAAAATAAGTCTGGCGGCTATTCTGCAAACTATTTTCAAGTGTTATCAACAGAAGCAGGACTTGGAATAGGTGTTAACCAGTATGTACATGCCTTCAGCCCAGGCATCCCTGTTGAACAGCTCAGAGGCTTCCAGTCACACCCAGCCCACCCTTCCAGGATCACTGGGTGTTTTCTCCAGATAATGTTATTATTTTTATAAACCTGTTCCACATCTGCAAATACAGAAACACTGGGGTTGTAGGCAAGTAATGGTAACATACGTAAGCCTTCAGTCCTTTCAAAATGAATTTTGCAGCCAATAATCAGTTATCTAAGAATTGCTGAAATAGTCTGGTACAACAACACTCTGCACACTTTAATCCTTTTAAAGGTTAGGGGTTTTTTAATGAAATGTAGATAAAATGTTCCAAGGACAGAAGCCCAATATCAGACTCCTGTATAAGGGTTCTGCAGATGTCTGAATCATTGAGGATGACAAGCAGTTTGAATCAGGCAAGGAATTCCTGGAAATAAAATAACTGAGCTTGCTCAAAAGTCTCAGCTAATGCATTTGCTTATGTTTGCCAATATTTTTATGACCTGGTAGCTTCATTCACATCTATGTAGCATAATCAGACTGCTTTATTATAAATGGCTTGTCAATTCTGGGCAAATTTGTATGACTGAGGAAGGAAAAATGACATGCTGGTCTTTGTTATCAATCACTTTCTTGCAATAACAGAATTTGACATCACAAATTATGAAGTGATATTTTAAGTCAAGACTTCCACTTAATTGTTCAGAAGGTGACACGAGAAGAATTGTTGCCATTGTTACTGTTTTTTAGCTATCTGATCAGGATATATGCTGTACTGTTAACCAATATACCCAGAAATGTGTAGTATACACAAGTGCCAAGCTAGTCTTTATCTGGTATATGTAGGAACTAACACACTGTCAAGCACTTGCACTCACATGAGTGTTAAATTTCTAAATCTTTCAGGTACTGAATATTTGTTGCTTTGATCTTTTCCTGGTGCTTTTTGGGACAAAATAATCATTCACCTTCTAGATAGCTAACTTCCAGTCCATGTTCACACCCCAAATTGAATTGTACCATTTTGCTTTTTTATTTTGTTTACAGACAGTTGTCTGCCTCACTGATATACCATACAGTTTCAGTCATCTGGAGCCCTAACACTGAAACAAAAGTTGCATTTGTAGTTAAGGATAAGGTTAATGTCGACAGCCATGCGTGCATCTCGTTTAAAAGTGACACAAACTAGTGAAATCAGTCTTCAATCTAAGCAGTGACTCGCCAAATTCCAAGAAATAGCTTTGAATATGAAGGGTATAGACATGCAAATAAATTTACCTCAGATGCACCTGTGACCACCTCCTTTTTCAGGTGGTTAATGCAAGGTGGCTTGCCCCTTGCTGAAAGTGGGATTAGCTACCTCTAGTTTCCCCCAGGTCAGAGTATGCGCAGGTTAGTGTAGAGTAGCTAGCTCGCTTGTTCTGTAGTAACCTGCTGAAATTTGACTGCATATTTTCCTATATGGAGACTGAGCTATCTGGAACCCAAGCATACTTTAGGGATTCAAACAGACATTTAATAAGAATCCAAATAAGTCCATTATTGAAAAATCTCTAAACACAGGTTGGCAGAGAAGAATTTTTCATAGTGCCTGAAATTTAATTAAATATTCAACGCTCAGAACTTCCTGTATCGCTACGTGATACCAAAGAACAGCTGCAGAATAGTTATTTATTGTAATACCGGACAGGTTTACTAAGTTCATTTCTATCAATGTATTTGGGATGCTTTTTGTATGCATTTAATACACAGATGCTGTAATATGTAATAAAATGCAGGTGATAATTATAGTTCATCTTAGAGCTGATTGTTCAAACTGACATTAGTTTAGACTAGACAGTGATATTGTGCAGTATTACTTGAATTTGTTTCTGTTGGTAAAGTGTGACCACATTTACAAGATTGTTTAATATTACTTGGTTTTCAAAAAATTAGATATTTTGTTTTTCTAACAGAAACTAAGAAGAGTGCTTGGCACTTGTGCAGCTGTGTTGGGAACAAAGTATTGGAATCTCCTGCTTGTTGGCACCAAAGAATTAATGGTCACCTGCAGATTTCCTACTGTTGCAGTTCAATAAAGTGTTCAACATTTCATTGTTGACCACTTGTCCTCCTACATCAGCTCTGGTTGGGTATTCTGAGGAAATTAAGGCTTGCCATAGTATTTTTAGGATCAATCCACATCTGGTTCAGGAAGATGCTAGTTGCCAATTAAAAACTTGCCCCAATTTTAAATCAGTTGATTATGTAAACTAGATATCCCTACAGTTATCTCTGAAGTTACTCTAGCTTGTGTATTTGCCAGTGAATGTCATCTCCATTGCACTGTAATGGCAAAGTTCAGGTGTCTGCAACCATTTCACTTATGTAGTTGTCTTTATTGTGCTGCATAAACTTGCAATGAGTTGTATTAAGTCTGTATGAGGTTGATTATACAATGATAAATATGTAATAAATGATACTTATTGTATTTTTTGTATATTGCAGGTAGGAATATTCCTATGCACAAAGAAAACACGTTGCCATTTATAGTTTCATACTTGAAATAATTTTTTTAATGGTTTTATAAAGGAAGTAAATAATACAAAGACACATCACTTTGCCTGAAGTTCCTTCATATTTTTAACTGTAGTTTATAACCTCCCTGTATGTGTTGGGTTTTTTCCACCAATGTAATCTTAAACCATTATTACTGTTGAGTGTTTGCATTCAGAATTTTGTAAATCAAGATTCAGACTTTCACTCTTATTTTACCTGAATTACATTCATGTTTAAGGCAAAACTTGCACCTTTTTAGGTCCTTTTTTCCCAAAGTGGTAAACTATTACATCAGTGAATGCAAGAATAACTTAATAAAGAATGTGAAATATTCTGGTTATTGTTTAAATGCAATGTATGTGTTTTGTAAAGCAAACAGCATGTTCTTTTAACTAATGGAAAAAGCTTATGGGGGAAATCTCCTTCTGTAGTTTTAATAGACAGGAATTAGTATGGTATGCTTTATGGTACTGATGATTCTTCTCCTAAATTTACACTCTTAGACTCACAAGGATTGTATTACCTTTCAACCCACTCTTGTTTAAAAGTCAGTTTGATCTTTAAGTAAAGGAAAATCTGATGCTGCATTTTCAGGAATTAGTGGATCCTAACATAGTGAATTATAATTTTTATATCCAAAACAGTCCAGTTAGAGAGACTACTTGAACTCCTTTAATACAGCAAATGTCAAGTAAGCTTTTCTTTTTAAGGGACAACTGTAAAATTGTTTTGAGAGGCAGAGATGACTTTAGTTCTCTGTTGAATGGAATATAACCCTATAAGAAGTGGCAGTGGATCAGTCACTGCTTTTCAAACACAAGTGAACAGATTTTCATGAATACAAACTCAATTTAAACACCAGAATTAGCCTGTAAATGCATTTCATCCACCTTATACTTCCCTGACCATTAAATAGAATTCTGGATTAAACCAGTATATTTCAACTGTTCTCTGTTATAGTAATGCTAATTATTTAATAATTCAACTACAAGTTTAGCGTAGAAAATTATGGTTTCTTAAAAATGGGTTGTTCCCTTCTAACATTTGTAATTTGAATTAGGCAAGGACAGGATGAAATGGTAGCACAAGCAAATAGTAAGTAGAAGAGAGTAGTAACTGTGAATGCTAGAATACAAAGCTATTTCTAAACACAAAAAAGGCGCACAAAAATTCCAACCACTGTGAGATGTAGTCAGAAAGTATTTAAAAAACTAAAGAGAAGTTGATGGTCCATGAATTTTCAAATTAATGCTGAATTGGAATCAAGTTAGATTAAATATAGAAAGCATTCAGCCCCTTTGGTTTATCAGTTACAGTGAAGTCAGCCTAGCTGTCAGTTGGCGGTGCTAGTAATAAAATCAAATTTAACTGCTTCAGAAAGTTTCCATTGTAAATGTGAGATGACAGCCAAGGGAACACAAAGACAATATTAGTTAACGTAATGCAGGGGCAGGCAATTATTTTAGGTGGAGGGCCGCTGAGTTTTGTCAAGCCATCGAGGGCCGCATGACAGGCAGCCAGGGGCAGATAAATATAAACTTTCTAAATTTTTAGGGACCCCATGGGCCAGACAGAATGGCCCGGTGGGCTGCATTTTGCCCACCCCTGGCGTAATGGGTGGTAGTCAAAAAGACACTTAACAGTTACCAAGTCTTCTCAACAAGAGTTTAGGAAAGCAGCAGTGAGAGCAGAAGGCAAAACTGATTTTAAAAAAATGAATATTTTCTTTTCTTCCAATGAGCAATGGAGGCTGGCATCCAAAAGAAGGTGATCTCTCACTAATAAACGAGAGAATAGGTAGAGTAGGGCAGGCTATGAAGGGTTTGCAATACAGAAGGTAGGCAGTAGAGATATGCTTAGACACTTTATGTAGTGAAAAAAATAGGTTAGGAGAGCAGTCTTAGCATCACTACTGTTGCCAGATAAATGAAATCCTGCCCTGCAGGTGTCATCCAGAGAAATGGATGATATAGTAATCAAGATACGAAGTAAGAGCCTAGAAAAAATTGTCCCTGAATCCCACTGCTGGTGGCTATTCTGCTCCGAACAGATTTTACTAAAAAGTTACGCATAAATTCAAGAAATAGTAATTTATGGCTGTCAACATAATTTGAGACTTACAGAGCCACCCTTCAAGTTCCCCTGGCAACTGAGTTGTGACAATACTTTGGACTTTATGGTTAAGCACACTGAAGTGAGGCATACACCATGCTCACTTCCATTTGGAAAAAGCCCTTCTAAACCAACACTTTCCTTAAGATAGCTGTAGTTGTTGCAAAATAGATAAAGGACACAAGACTGCTCTTGAAATCTAGCAGGTCCTCACCTGTGATTCATGTCTGAACAGCTGATTAACAAAAGGGGACACCTAAAGTGCACAAGAATTAGATTCCTACAGAAAACCAAACACCGTCAATCTAAAGTATTATTTTACATCTCATAACAAGGACAGATGTCACATCTTCCCATTCTAAACAAACACAATGGGAACTCAGTCCTGTTATGGCCTCCCTGGTTTTGTTATAGCTGCCTACTCTTCCTCTCAGTACCTGCCCCACTAACACAGCTTTCCCAGTTGCAGTGGTAGAAATGAATTCAAAACTATCTTTTATTAATTAGATTCTAATCATGGAAAACTAACAAATTCAAAAGTTCTCCACATATAGAATCTAATTACATACAGTGGGGCATCATCTTAAATTCAGGGAGGTCTTGGATTCAGGTTAGCATGATCTTTCCTCCATCCGGAAACTACTGAAGGCAATCCAAGTCTCATCTTTCATCAAGCAGAAGTACAGGTTTCCCCTCAATTTATGCAGTACATGCATTCCTGGAGAACACCGCATAAATCGAACTTGCATAAAGTGAACACACTTTATAATGTAAGAAATAGGGATAGGTTCCTGTTTCAGCTGCTCCCAGGGCCACTCCAGCCACCGCTGCCTACAGCCACTGGACTGCACCATGCCCCGAATGCCCCCATGGCTCTCCCTGCCTGTCCCCACTCACCCCAGCTCCTGCTGCAGCTGTCCTGGGAGCAGCTGATGCCAGCTTCCTGTAGCCACTGGATTGCACTATGCCCTGGTGCAGGCAGCTGGCGCAGCTCCTGGGGCCATTGCCGCTGGGGCTGGGTTGAGTGCCATGCCCCACACTGCCTAGGGCTCCACTTGTCCGCACTCACCCCAGCCAGTGCTGGAGCGGCCCCAGGAGCAGCTGGTGCCAGCAGCTCCTGGGGCTACTGCAGCCGGGGCTGGGGTGAGTGGGGCCATGGCCCTTTTCTACCTACTGGGGGCAGGGAAGGCATCTATGCTTATTGCATAAAGAGCAAATTTACCTTGCATATAATGAATTGTGGGTCTAAATATGCTAATCACATAAGAGTGAATTCACATAGAAAGAACCCGCGTAAATGGAGGAAAACCTGTAGTATAGAATCCGGCCATTAAACTCCACACACACACACAAGAAATCCTTTCTGAAGAAATCCGTTTTAATTTCAGTAACTCTTAACAAGATATTTCAGGTCTTTCACATCTTTGCCCCCAGTTTTTGGACAGGTACAAAGCATCCCAGACTCGACAGTAGGGCAGCGTAAGCGCACTCCCACAAAGCAGCCTGCCTCAGTCAAGTTGCTGTCCACTTTTTGGACACGTTTAAATGATTCAATCGATCCCCAAGATACTTGTGTGGGGGGAAGTTGGAGACTACCTGGCTAACGAAGGCCTCCCATCGTGCCTGTCGCTGCTCAGCGTTATGCTTATACTCTTCCTGGGTCGTCAGATACGAGCAGCTCAACCAATATTCGTTCTCCGCTTCGATTTCCAGTCTCCTAACCATCCTCATCTTCATGCCCATAGTCACCTTCCTCGGCCGCCTGTACTTCCCAATCCATTGGCTCCCAGGGATCCTATTGCGGAGCAGGGCCAGGCTCAGAAACATGGCACCTTGGGAAGCCAAACACGAGCCGGTAATCTCTTTGTCGACTTCAGCGAGCCGTTAATCTCTTTGTCGACTTCAGCTCCTTGGAGCCAGCTCAGAAGGGCAGCAGCGGAGGCGCGGGGCCGCCCAGGGCAGAGCTCGCTCCCTCCCCGGCTCCCCCGCGCCCTCCTGCTCCGATCCCCAGGGGGAAGGGCCCGGCTGCAGCCGCAGACACGCCTGAGCCGCCGCAGCGCTTCCGGGGAGCGGTCGGCCGGCTCCCGCGCCCGGAGGGAGGGGAAACACCGCACCCACACTCACCGTCCAGCCCCGGCCCAACAGCAAGTACGACCCCGCACAGAACAAGATAGCACCACCTCCCGCAGAGCCGCGCACGCCTCAAACGTCATCTCTTCGCGCGCAGGAGCGGGGCCTCGCGGCAGCCAATGAAACGCATCCTCGCGGAGATTCGAAACTGCGGCGGCAGTGGGGCGCGCGCGGTTCTGAACTCCGTCAGGAGCGTGTCCGGGAGCTTCTTTAGCGGCCTGCGCCAGCTGGCGGTCACGCTGGAGCGGGAGACGCGGCAGCTGGAGCGGGCGTTGAACCGGGAGGAGCGCGGTGAGGCCCGGCCGGCGGGCGGGCGGGGTAGGAGGGGGCTCCTGGGAGCGCAAGGGCCGCGGGCAGCCTGCGTGTGTGGGGCACGTGGCGGGGCAGGGAGCGGAAAGCGGGGCAAGGGAAAAGGAGTGGCTCTGGGAGGAGGGGGCAGGGCTGACTTGTGGCACCCCCGCCAAAAAGGTTGGCTCTCCACTGAGCCGGCGCATGCTCGCACCAGGTGAGTGGGAATGTCGTATTTGAAATGCAGCGTATTTTCATCCTTGCTGACTGATGGCATTGAGAAGCTTTGAGCCAGGGGTCTGGTTGGGATTTGTTTTTAGCGTCTAAATTGTTGTTAGAGCGTTGTGGCCTTGTACATCATTCAGTAGTAGCCTCTCATGCCGTTGTCTCCAAGGTCTAAGGGCAGTCGATTGTCCTCACCTCCATTTCCTCAGAAGACCGTTAGTAGGATCCAGGCTGCCGCGTGTTGTTTGTCTCCCTGCATTCTTCACTTCCTCTATAGCCTGCCTGCATGTTTGTTTCCAGAGTCTTCGTTTATCAACTTTTTGCTCTGTACGTTGCAGTGTCTTGGTTCGTAGTAGCTGTTCCCTCTCATTTCGCTTATGCACATTAACCCTATTTCCAATATAACATGCACAGACTGATTTTGAAGACACTAGCCTTGGTCTGCCTACAAAAGTAGTCAGTTAAGTTGGTGCTTATGTCCTGTTGTCTGCAGGTGAACAGACACAAAAACAATCTAAACACCTTTTCAATATCTGAACTGAAAATTTGCTCCACGTTTCAAGGGACGTTTCTGGAGA